TTTCCCTGGCTGATGGGAGAAGTTTTCTCTGTGTTTTCTCAGTCAGCAGCAGCAGCTTTGCCTTAACTCTGTTGCAGTTGAGGAGAGAATAGAAAACCCCCTGATTTTCATCCCTTTTTATGTAGCTCCATCATTCACTTGGTGCTTGCAGAGTAGCTTGAGATCTTTGAGCCTCAAGAAACAGCCAAGCTGTGTCCCCCTAATGTCTGAAGACAGATAATCATGGCATTAACTCCCTTTTCTCCTCGACTTATCTTCCAGGTGCTGAAAGGCTGCAAGAAGCTGAACCTGTCTGTGCACTCTGTGGGTCGCATCCCGGGGGGCTATGTCACCAACCACATCTACACCTGGGTGGACCCGCAGGGCCGGAGCGTGTCCCCCCCGACGGGCCTGCCACACCACCAGAACAGCTCCCTGCGCAAGGACAGCGAGAAGAGGAGCCACCTCCAGCTCCTGCAAGAGGGGGATGAGAAGAAGGTGAGCAAGGGGGAATCAGCCACAGCCCTTGGGGCCTCACCGCAGTCAGCTCGTACCGTGTAGGTGCCAACGCTCTTCATTCCCCTTGTGCTCATCATCCATGTGGTTCTGCTCTCCGTTGGGATAGCTTGTCTGTGCTTTAGGATCTTGGTTTGCTCCCTTGGTCTGTAGCTTTCCCACTGTCTCCCACAGGAAGTCCTTTAGGACAGGGTGGATTTGCTCTACTCCCGTTTGACACAAGTGGAAGCTGAACTGGAGAGGAAGAATTGTCCGGGTGCAGCCTGGTCTGGCAGTGAGTTTTCCTGAACAGGTGGTTGCTTGGCTGAGCCTGCTGCCAGCATGGTCATTGAGGGACTGACTTCCATGTTCAGCTTGGAGAAGGAAAGGCTCTGGGGAGACCCTAGAGCCCCTTCCAGTGCCTGAAGGGGCTCCAAGAGAACTGGAGAGGGACTTTGGACAAGGGCCTGGAGGGACAGAACAAGGGGGAATGGCTTCCCACTGCCAGAGGGCAGGGACAGGTGGGATATTGGGAAGAAATTCCTCCCTGTGAGAGTGGTGAGACACTGGCATAGGTTGCCCAGAGAAGCTGTGGCTGCTCCATCACTGGGAGTGTTCCAGGCCACGTTGGATGGGGCTTGGAGCAACCTGGGCTAGTGGAAGGTGTCTCTGCCTAGGGCATGGGATGGAATGAGATGAGCTTTAAGGCCCTTCCAACCCAAACCTCTCTAAGATTCTGTGTTATGTTCAGGAGGGCTCATGGATTTGGAAGGCTGATCTCAGAGTGCATTACTGCCTTTCTTCCTGCATTTCAGAGCTTTCCTCAGGTGTTCTGTGAGGCTTTCTTGGGTCTCTTGGCAGTTTTGACTAAGTAAAAACATATCCCTAAGTTTTTCTCTTCCCAAAATGCTGTAAAATAAACCAGGTTATTTTCCTTTTCCATTTGGGGAGAGGCAGGCTGACTCAGGAGGGGCCTGAGCAGTGCCTGTGTGATAACCTTGGTGAATGAGAAAGGAGCAGGGAAGGAAATAACTTCCATAACAGTACCCAGGGGAGTGTGACTAGTGTCAGCAGGGCCTGGATCTCAGGCCTCTGACAGAAAGGAAAGTGTATCAGTACATCTAATTCCCAGTCCTATTCTCTTGCTGTGAGCCTGCTCTCCTTTAAAAAGACATTGCTGTAAGTGAAGCCAGCAGAGGATATGTTCGAGCTGCAATATCTGATCTTAGGGATTTAATGTCTCTTCTCCCTCACGCTGCCCATGCCCAGACAGACCTCAAGAGATGTCACTGCAGAGGCACAGTGCTCACGTGCCCTTGCAGTGAGGCACAGACTCTGCTCACTCTCTTGGTGATGATGGGTTGGAACCTGTTCACCCTGTACAAGAAGAACACGGATGGCAATACCAAATCAAAGTGCTGTCCTAGGAGTGAGCAGGGCACTGTGACCTCCCAAAGATACAGAGTTCCTTGGAGCCTTGACGTATTTCCATATGATCCTGAGGTCACTCAGGCTGTCCCCACCACTTTGCATGCCCCAAATATCCTCAGCTCCATTGGGAAAAGCTGTGGAAGGGTCTGTGAACTGGAGCTTCCCATCTCAGCTGGAGGGGGAAAAAATCTCATACAGGATGAGGCAGTTTGCTGTTGAAATATTTATGTGGGCCACAAGGGAGAAGGGCCTATTATTTTTACTTTAAGGAGAAGAGAAAAGCAGGCACTGCTGGCTGGTGTCCCCCACCCCCTGCCACTCGGTGTCACCTTGACAGGGCAGGCAGTGGCTCTGGGAAGCTGTGGGGAGGAGATGTTTCTCTGCACATCATTCCTTTAGTCCTTGCTGTGTGTGGACGTGAAATGCTCAGAAGTTTGCAGCTGTATGTCCCCTGCCCAGTGCCTGAGCCTCACGTGGCCCTGAGCATCCCCTTCCCTTCAGTCCCTGGGGAGATGAGATTCTAGATGCCCAAGCTGGCTCTGGGCAGCTTGGGGGCTGCATGGATCACTCATCAGCCCAAAGCACCCTCCTCTGTGCTGCTCCTGGTCCCAGGGCTGGCTCCCAGGGGTGCACAGGAAAATGGATCCAACTGAACTGTGCAAGCGTTAATTACCGGAGCATAATCTGCTTTGGAAGGGAATGGAGCCAAGTTGAATGAAGGCCACGTCAAACTTAGAAGAGTATCTGTGCTGGGCTTGGCTGCTCTCGGATGCACTCATTCCCAAGGTATGAGGAGACCCCAGCTCCAAGTCACCCAGACCTTTGCCTTCTTCATAGAATCACAGAATGATCTTGGCTGGAAGGGACCTTAAAGCTCATCTCATTCCACCCCCTGCCATGGGCAGGGACACCTTCCACTAGCCCAGGTTGCTCCAAGCCTCATCCAACCTGGTCTGGAACACTCCCAGGGATGGGGCAGACACAGCTTCTCCTGACAACCTGTACCAGTGTCTCAGCACCCTCACAGGGAAGAATTTCTTCCTAATATCTAATCTAACCCCTACTCTCTGGCAGTGTGAAGCCATTCCCCCTTGTCCTGTCACTCCAGGCCCATGTCAATAAGTCTCTCTCCATCTTTCCTTAGCTGTTTCAGGTACTGGAAGGCTGCAATTAGGTCACCCCAAAGCTTCTCTTCTCCAGGCTGAACAACCCAAACTCTCTCAGCCTTTCCTCACAGCAGAGCTGCTCCATCCCTCTAATCATCCCTCTGGACTCACTCCAACTTTCTGATCCAACTTGATCCAACAAATGGGATCATGCTTTGACCCCAGGGCAGGGAGCTGGAGGCCCCTCTGTTAACCTGGGAAGAGTTGCAGGAAATATTTGAAGCTCACAGAGATGGGATGCAGAGATGGGATGCAGAGGGCAGTGCTGGCATCACAAGGACAGGCAGTGTTCAACCTTCTCCTGGCACCACTCCTTGGTGACATGCCAGCAGGGACATTGGTCACTGCTGTCAATGCACAAGGTTTGCTATGCACACTGCAGTAACCTCCACTCCTGATATCCCATCTGTAAAACCAGAAAAAAAGAAAATTACTGGATGCTACAACTCTGAAATGCTGGCAGAGGTGCCTTGCTGTGCCAGCTGATGGTGGAAGCAAACTCTCCCTGATCAGAGGCTGTGAGCAGAGCCTGCCCTGGCTGGTAGGTTGGAGAGGGGTCATTTGGTGTGAGTGCCTGTGTCATTTGTGTGAACACATGCTGCAGGGCATGAACGAGCTCAGTTGCTTTGTCCTGAATTACTGTCCCCCACTGAGAGATGGAAACATGTCCCAGAAGACAGGAACAGCCAACTCTAGTTTTTTCCCTTTTCGTTTGTGTGTGTAGGTATATAGTGATGCATTGATACAGCTATATTTTTAACTGCTGAAAGTGGGATTAGTCTGTTCACAAGTATGCAAATAAATGCAACATATCCCTGGTTAATTCAGCCCAGCCCAACAGAATTGACAGGTACCACCGAGGCCTGAAATGAAATCAAATGATTTCTGCATGGGTTTACATTCCGAGAGAAGAGCTGGGAATTAGTTGGTTATTTTTCCCCCTCTCCCTCCTCTTTCTAATCGATCTGAATGTCCTGAAACTCATCTACAAAAGCTTTCAAACAGGCAGGGTTTGGGAAAGTACAGCAGAGCAGCTTCAGCCCTGCAGCAGGAGGCTGGAGCAATGTAAACCAGCACGTTTGAGAATGCATTGCTGCAGCACAACCGCAATGCCTCTGGAGCTAAAGGGATATTTCCAGCCTTTCCAAGGTTAAATTCAAGGCTGGTGCAGCCATCTGACATTTCTCAGGCAATAGAAATATCCCTTTCTAGCTGCCTTTTCCTCTAGCACATCTGTATGCCTGGAAGGATGGGTTTGTAGCAGAGTTTAACAAGTTTGTTTGTGGAGGAAGAAGCATTCCTTATCCAAAGGCTTGAAATGGAAACCAGCACTGGAGTGTGTGTGGCTGTGTAACTGATCCATCCAGCTCCTTCCTGCAGAGGCACCTGGATGGTGGGATGGAGGTGTGGAGCAGGTGAAGTGGTGTGCACTCAGGGTGGTTGGGCTTTTGGCTGACAGGTTGGACTGACCTCCTTGGGTAGCTTTGCACAGTGTGGTTTGGTGCTGAAGACAACCAGCATTGCTGGCATGTTCCTTGCCCGTGGCTTTACCTTGCATGTGTGTGTGGACACTGGGATTCCTTCTGTGGAATTCTGCCAGCTGTGGAAGAGGCTGTTAGAAGGATTTGGGGAGTTGCTGGTGGGCTGTCAGCTGCCTCCTGGCTTGGCTTTTACCAGCTTCTTCCAGGCAGTGGTTCTGGGCCAGAATCCAGCTTGCCCCCAAGGTCAGAGCTGTTCAGTGTGGGTGAGCAGGAGGGATGTGCTGAGACTTGGGCCAGTTATTCAGCATAGACCTGACCTAATGTGAGTGATGTGAGAATTAAGGGGATGGAGAGCTGAAGGAGGTACTGGAAGGTACATACCTGTGGTTGTGGAGGTTGTTACAGATCTCTCTGCTTTCCATGTCTGTGCTGTGTGGCAGATGGATGTTATTTCCCAAGTTTCTTAGCTCCCTGCAGTAAGGACAGCTTTCCCTGTAGTCATAATCAATAGATCCAATATTTCATCCTGTGTCCATCCCCCCCGTAGGTGAAGTAACCAGTGGTGATGGTGAGTAATAAGTGAAACAAAGGATTTGCAGTAGTGCAAAGCTGTGGTGAAACATTGCTGGAGCCACATGTCTCCAGGCCAGACAGAGCAGCAGGACACAGCCCCCCAGCACCATCCCAACAGAGGATGTCATCTGCTGGCTGGAATGCTGTGACCTGCTTCCCATGGTCACCTTCTGCTTCAGAGCACTTGGGTTTTATCATCCATCCAGGCTTGGAGTCCTTTGGATTTGTCACAGCATCAAGGGCTATTTGTGCTGTGAATTGTCATTGATGGACTTCTGGGATCAACAGCTTCTTCCCTTAAAAGCACTTTGGAAACCCTCAGATAGCAAAAAGTGGTAGGTGCTGCTGAGCT